GTTACATCAAAAGAGGCAAAGATAATTTAGAATATAAACGCAATCAAAATGTAGTATATAAGATATCCTGACAATTGTGATGCTAGTTATGTTGGACAAACTAAAAGACAATTAAAAACTAGACTAAAAGAACATATTTCAGATATTAATAAAGCATCAAAATCCCCTTCTGTAATAACAGAACATAGATTCAAGTTAAATCATAATTTTAAATGGGATAACGTTGCAATTTTAGATATCGAACCTTCTTATAAAAAAAGATTAATATCTGAAATGGTACATATTCAAAAACAGACACACATATAAACAGACAAAATGACACAGAGTCATTGCCCGAAATGTACACCAATATGATACATTCCCTATCCTCGTCTTAAATTTGTCTTTCCTTGTTATTTTTATTAGTTTATCCTTTGACTTTCTATTCCAACGACATTATCCTATTTACTTTTGCAATGATACGTGTTCAATTTTGACAGCTGCAAAGTATCTCATTTTATTACTCCAAATATATTTTATAATAAATTGACGCAGAGTATTTTTACACATGGATTGATCACAATTTTTATTTTATTTTTGACGAGGTATATATGACTTTTATATTTGTATTAGATTTTAATATTTTGTGACAAGAGGTTAATAAGACATTTAGTAGTTGAATTTTTTAACAATGTTAATTTTTATACTTTTTATCAGGATCAAAGATAAAAACACATACAAATACCAATGTTCAAATTTTATACACGGAATCTATGATTTTTAACAATATGAAGATTGTATAATGTTAACCCTTAGTTCCGACTCCAGGGTCGTTTACGACCCTGCCGAATTTTCAAAGTGCTGTAGTTTTTGAAAACGGGTAGGGAGCGCGCATAAAAAAAAATATTAAAACTTTTTTTTTTTCAAAATATTACTATTGGGGCTTCAACTTGAAGGTTGAAGGAAGTTACTTGAATTTTTTCAGATTTTTTGAAGCGTTTTTATTGTCCCAAATAACGCTCGGACGCGAACGACCCTGGAGTCGGAATTAAAGGTGCCGAAAAGGACGGTCGGAACTAAGGGTTAATTTAATTTTAAGAAAAATTATTGTATCATTGAAAATGACCCGATCGGAGTCAAAACGTCTGAAGATGTATTAATATATGAATTAAAATAATTCGTTAAATTAATTTGGCTCTACGCCCTAGTTATATTTTTGTATTGTTAAATACGTTTCGATTTTCTGGAAAAGTGAGTTATTCATACTACGATCCGTGCTGTTAAATAATGTCAAATCTGAATTATTTATAATAATTTCTATCGATCGCCATTGTTTCTCTATTCAGTATATTATTAATTTAATTAAAACAATAGAGTTTAACTATTTAACTCAAGAAAATATATTAAAGTTCATTGTTTATTAATAAGGAAAGGAGCTACATTGCAAAAGTGATATAAAAAAATCTAACGTTATCGGCTAAAAAATCATGTTTAAAATAAGTATTCCTATTATAAATGAATCTTATAAAATTCTATATCCGAGTTAAGTTGGAACATGCTTGATCATTTTAATTTAGACATTAAAATACCTCGAAACAATGCACTTTTAAAAAACCTTTCAAATAAAAGTTACAAAGTTTAGGCACCCTATGGTGCCTAAAGTAAACTTTGGACCCAAAATATAAGTTATTTATCTGATAATACTTATCTTTTCAAACACTACTTTTATATTGTATAAAATATTTTTTTTCAAAAATATATTGTTTCCGCGATATTTTGATGTTTAACAATAAGTTAAAGTGGCCAAACATGTTCCAGCCCAAGTCGAGTACAGAATCTATAGGATCTCAAGATTAGACTATCTAAAATACCTATTTTAAACGTGGTCTTTCGACTAATGTTGATTCCTTTACATCACTTTTACAATACAGCTCGTTCTCTTGTAAGTTCATGTGTTAATACTATGAAGGCCAGGTAGTATACGATAGATACTAAAATGACGCCAATGTGACGTCATCGGCCATTAAAATATTGATAGTCTTGTTTACTTCGAAACTAACCATAAAAATGGATTAATTTGTATTCTGATACGTATGAAAGTTGTTTTTTTTTTTTTGCTATCTAACAGTACATGTGAAAGAAAACATTGAATATTCTTTTCAATTACTCTTTTTTGTCCTACGTTTGTATGTTTAGTAAAAGAAGTTACTTGTAAAAGAAAAATGTAGTGTCTTTCAGTTTTTGAACATGGCCGGAGACACTACCGCGTCTCCTGATATAAACTGAGTTAAGTTTATTTATTAAACCAAAATGAGACATACCTAAATATAATATTTACCGTTATTACATTTTTAGAATTTGAAATTAAGTCTCAAGGGCAAAGAAGTAAAGAACAAAATAGATATTATAATAACATTGTCTCAACTAGTCTAACAACTGGCATTTCACATATACCATATATAGTTAGCACATGAAACATTTATAGAAATATACTGATTTTTTATCTCACTTACGTCGACACATTTTAAATGGCCATAGGTATCTATTTTTGAAAACATGGAAATTTCTAACATTTTTATTTCTAATAATAAACTTATCATATATATTAAGCTGCTGCACAATCAGTTTGACACTAAATGGAACTTTTAAAATTAATCTAATTACGACCTTTTCCCTAGAATCTAATTAATATGTATAAATCGTTATTAAGTACAAATTTTTTAAATTAATTTATTTCATAAAATCAAAACAAAAAGCATACAGCCACAGCACTAGTTATAATGAGCGAATGTCCTTTATCCAAAATATACGTTAAATTTGTCTAGACGTTTCGATCTATTTTAGACCATTATCAATAAAAATTAAAGCATTAAAGCGAGCATTAAAATGCTTAACTATACAGCTTTCTAAAATTTTTAAGAATATATTTTAGTACTAATACGTGTCTTCTAATCAAGACATTCATGAAACTTATAAAATCTAATGTAAATGTAAGAGTCAAAATTATAAAAAATGCGAGGACAACAGATTGCGCAATTATACTCTTGCGTTAATTATAATATGACTTTGTAATATTTTTATTTGTAATAATTTTTACTGATAATAGACCGAAACGTCTAGACAAATTTAATGTATATTTTGAATAAAGGACATTCGCTCATTATAACTAGCGCTGTAGCTATATGCTCTTTGTTTTTTGATTTTATTTTATATTCTAAGTCATAATACATATTATTTGTCTCATATTTTATGTTGTATTCATTTGCGACATAAAATATGAGATGAATTCATTTATTTTTAATTTTTGATTTATTGCATCAAATCGATTTCATAATTACTGGTATAACTATCATAAACATTCAATAAATGTTCTAAATTCTAAAACTCAAATAAAATATCTACACAATATTTAAGTAAACTTTTTATAAACTTTTAATAAACATTCGCTAAGGGATCCAAAAATTTCAGTGAATTTTGAAAGTTTTACCAGATTGATGTTGAAACGCCCTTATATCCTTCGGCTGTGAACCCTCGGCAGATGTTTCACCCCACCACGCAGCGCAGAGAGCCACAAGAACGACCCTCCATTTCATTTATGGATTGTTCGGGGATTCTGTACCCGAACACATGTTAGGCGTAGCCACAGCGAGCTATACGGCGTAAAACAACATGTGATAACAACGCAAACGTTTCATTGTGCTTATGACGCGCAAACTGTTGGTCCTTTCAGAAATCCCATCAAAACCGTTTCAATCGATTAAGTCGCGTAAGGGTGACGCCTTTAATGCATCGCTTAATTGAATGTGTCATTAATAAAATGTCATACTTATCACAATGCAATTGATTAAAGCTTTTATTGTTTGATCAATTTCTCATGTTTTCAAAGTCCCCTGCACAAATTTCATTTACGAAGCTTGTCGCTTGAGAATATAACAGCCTTACAACATCAGCAACAATCAGAATATGTAACACAATTATTTAAATTATTTAATCATTGTGAATGAAATAGATACATAATCATTTACTTTAAATTACATCATATTATCTTATATTAAAAAATATTTCAGGATATGCTCTATACGTGATTATACATACATATACAATAACAAGAAAGACTTCATAGATTGCAACTATCGGGTGATTTTTTAATTTTTACTTTCCTTCCTATTACAAAATACGATACACAATCATGCACACATATTTATGTTAATGTTAGTCGCGTGATTTTCTATCTCGTTTATACAGCATAGAAAAAAATCGTTACGTTCAAACATAGTACAGTCCACCGTAGAGGTCCTCAGGTAAAAGATTGGGCATCGTTTAAGAATCTTGAAATATCTTGAATATGGTGGACGAAATGCTTAAGGTAGAATGAGATAGATATCCATACATCTCATTCTAACTCACGTATCTATCTCATTCTATTTTAAACGCCGTTCTGAAAATGGCGGACCAAACGGACCAATCAAAAATTGTCTAAACGGTGTTCAAACGCTGTCGAGAATCTTCAGTTCAACGGACAGCGAAAGGGTGTCCGAAAAAAAAAAAACCGGATCCTTTTTTCTTCTGTTACACATAGACAGAGCGTTTTCAACCCTCGGGGATGCGGACATTCCGTTCACAGCATACGTGTGACAAGCGGTCTATCTTGTCTACAGGCTCGATATTTCCGCAATAGCACGTTCCAATTGCGCAAGTATACGACGTACGTCCCACGCGGAAATCCCGCGCGGCACCGAGGCTGCGATAAGAGAGCTCGGCTGCCGCAATGAGAACGGATCCTTCGTACGTAACCCTTGCATCTCGAATCGACTATCCATGCGTCATCGTCACCCTTCCGTCCTCTGCGTTCCTCGCTCTTTCCCCCGCCCCATTCGCGTTTTGCGATTCGAGAAAAGCCGCCCTCTCCCCTCCGCCACGGAGACGCGGCGGCAAAAGCACGTGTGTACCGGCGCGGCGCGGCGCGGCGCGGCGTTGCGGCGCCGCGAAATATGACCGACCGTCTGTACGTGCCATGCCATTACGCGCGCCTGGATTTCGACGATCGGTGTCGGCCGCTCCGCTCCGCTCCTGTGGAGACAGTCAAGTCAGTCGTTTCGAGGCTGCCGAGTTGACCGGGTCGTGAGTCGTGGAAAGCCGCGTCGTTCCGGGCTGTGTGTCTTCTCTCTCCAACTGAAACCACCACTTCTCTCTCGCGTCTGCCCGTCCCTTCCTTTGTTAGCCACCCCATCGAAATTTCGAGGGCGAGAACCATGGCGAATACCATGATCCTGACGCTTGTACTGCTGGCAGTGATCCGTAAGTTGAACGCAGCCGTTTTATTATACGTTTAGAACTGGGATATCAGTCGAACGAGATCTTTAAACGAATCTAATACTGGCCACAGTACCGAAAGACAGTAATTAATTATTTATTTTCAGTATTAAAAGCTTCGTTGTTTATTACTCCGAATAAGTAATTAATTACTGTCTTTCGGTAATAAAGTGGCCAATATTAGATTTCTGTAAGGGAAGAGGGTAAACCCGGTGAAAGTTATGCTTCATCGTGCTCCAAAAATAAATGACAGATTTTTATTGTGAGACAAAGGTCGTTTTTTGGGGGGGGGGAACAATTAATAGCGAATAATTTAGATTCGTGTTATTTTACGCTTATTAAGAAAAAATCGAAAGATATTCGCGATAATATATTATATTAAAACCAGAGCTTCGCTTATTATTCTGAATAGAACCACTGTTTTATTCCGATAATAAGAAATATCATTTAGATGAATGTTGGTCGTAGAATATTAGACTTGGTCTCTCTCGAGCGACAATATACGTGGCGCAAACCTAGTTTGTTGACAGTTCGCTTATGTTAGAACATAACAGCCGTTACGTTCAGACACGAGAACATAAATCACCATGCGAGAATGGTCTTGGTCGTTGGCAAGCAGTTCGAAACGGAGTTCCGCAAAACCGAACGTTGTGCGTATCGATCCTATTTTAAAGCCGCATCCTGTACGACTGTTACAAGCCTGACACTTAGCAGATCGTGAAATCGAGAATCTGGAGTATCTTTCTCGACCGCGACGTCGTAAAACGTGGCCTCGCTCGCCTCGTGCATCGAAAAACCAAACGCTCCTCTAATAGACGTATCGATTTTCTTTTTTTGTCGCGCTGCTTCTCCTCGCCTGTCCATCAGAAGAAAGAGCTCCTCCGAGTGTTAAGTCGTGTGAGTAAAGTAAAGTTTACGTTCGGGGGAAGTTGGGTGGAGTTTTCAAAGCCGAGACTTAGTGACGTAGTCCTGCGTTTGGAATTCTCTGTTCCAGTGATGCGCAACCTTTTTCCTCCTTAAAGAGACATCTTCAGAGAGAGCCATTTTTTCAGAGGGCCATATTTTCCAAGTCATTTTCAGAAATAAATGAAATCTTGCAGGCTACGTAATGTTCATTTTTGCAAAAAATATTTTACATCATGAGGCTGGCGAGCAGTAAAAAATTCACAGGTTGAGCATCACTGCTCTGTTCGAGTTTACAAGTGGAAATCAGATAAAGTTCAAAAAATTCTCGCGCGACGAGACAATGAAATCTACATGAATCGTCGTAAACCTGGACGAGCGAATCACTCAACGGATCGTGGACTTTACGACCGAAGCTTTTTATAATTCACGTCGACTCAAATGTCCTGGCATGCTCGACGTCGGGACGAGCGAATGAATAATTTCGATGGAAAACCATTTCTTCACGCAGAATAAAAAGTTTTGCAGTTTTAATCAGTAGTTTGCGACATACAATGTCTCAATTAGAGAAGAGCGGGGCGAGAGTTTACGAAGTACGATAACGAGGTCTGAGAAAGGGGAGTGGTCACAGCAGCTTCAGTTAACGCCATTTGTAATCAATTACGAGAATCAAATTGAAAGTAATGAGTAACAACTTTTTACAAATTAAAATATTTTACGTTATAGAAAAACCAAGTAAATCATTTTAATCCGCATTTTGATTTCAATCAATTTAATATTTTAATCCCCATTTTTTTGGCAAACATATGTTTCCCGCCATTCTGAAAGTTTGAACATTTTGCGCGCGCGTTGTAGAAAATTTCCTTCCATTAACTGCCCGCAGACAGTGACGCACTGTTTTGTGGACGCGTCGTAATGTTGGCCTTACGTCCTTCACAAAACCGAGGAAGGTAATCGGAGGGTGAGGGAGAGAGATTGTAGAGAGGGGAGGAGTGAGGAAGAATTTCCCACCCCATTTTCTCAATTTTGTCTAAGGTCAATGAACGAAGGAGGGTCAGTGTTGTAGGACGATCTTTCCTCCGAGAGAAGGTTGGCCAACATTACGAAAGGACGAAGGCAATCCATAAAATAGTGCGCCACTGTCTTCGGACAATGGAATGGAGTTACACCCCAAGGGAATATTCGAAATTTTAGAACAATGAGAAAAAAAATGTGTAAAAAGAGATAGGAATTATTTAGAAAAATAAATAAGAGATTGTAGATTAAAACAATACTGGTTTTTTAATAATAAAAAGATTCTAATTTATAACAAATTGTTGCTCATTATTTTCGACACATTAAAAAAGATATTTTTAATTTTAGTGGATCATTTGTTTAGATAGTGAAAAAGACTAACTATTCAAATATTTACTAACTTGTAAGTAAAAAAGATACATTCGTTTGAAACAAAAATATTAATTTCGTTTAATAATTTTTTTTAGTGAGTGAATATTTATTTACTTGCAGTAATTATATGACTGTAAGTAAATGTTCAGTTAGCACTTATATTCAAATAAAATTTATTAAAATTTAATATACATTTCTTTATAGTGTATGATCCTCGTAAATCTTTCGCTCACACACCTCTGCTGCTACATCGCAACAGGATTTCCCGAGAGATGAATTTAATCTTTGCCATGTTAATTCCTCCAAACTGAGAATAATTTCACAGGATTTAGAGGAAGTAGAACGATGACATATAATATATCCTCTTTATCTCGATCCGTTCCTCAATCGATCGCTAATAATAATCTCACGGTGACGCACATCGGTCGACGTATATACCCGCATGCTCGATCAGGCTTTTAGCGTCTTACATTAAATTAGTCCTTAATTTTAGCCATCGCTCAATTGCGCAAGGGAGGCACAATTAATCCCAGAGACACAGACACATAGAAGCAATATTTACCGTGAACGACCGACGCGCGTCGTTTCCTTCCGTCCGTTTCTTCCTGCTTCTGTCTCTGTGTACGTAAGTAGGTCATAAGATCTGTTACATATATTTTTTTTTCAATTTCTTCGTTTTTCTTTTGCCGAGAAAATACTTGTCTCTCATTTCTGATATGCGAACAGTGTAAATCGACTGATCCATCAACGAAACAATTACGTGATCGTTTGCTATTCAAGTGAGAACAAATATTTTTCAAATACATTTTCTCGTTGTGTCAATACCTGTCGCTAGAAGGAAGGGCAATTGGTACTCTCAAAGCATACGATCCGATAGCTACGCTAACACGGCTGTTGCTTATAAAGCGTCCGCAAAAATAGATTAACGCCGTGACCATGGCGATGGTGGCATGTAACTTACATACCGTGCAAAAATAGTACGAAAATAAACTGTTTTTAGCACACCTTTGCTTGTCCTGCACGCTCGCGGTTTACGTGGTAAGCGTACACAGGACGGAAGATATAAAAATAACAAGGCTGGTGTAATTTTTTCTAATCAAAATTTCGATCGCGCAAAATTTCGAAGCAATCTAATAATGAAAAACATAAGTCATCGTATAAAAATAGGATGTTTTTCTTTAAGACCGAAGAATATGTATACTTTTTTCGAGGACACTACCGATAAAGATAAAAACGACCACGTGACACTCGCAAACAATTAGCGTATTATATTTATCGTCTACTGACTAGTTTTGACCTGGCTAGTTTCGAGCTAATTGTTGACCGGTTTTTCCTAACCAATATTTCTTGATCACTTACTGTGGGTAGTTACAGTAAATTTCAAAATTGCAAAAAGTTTCTGCCCAGTGACGAGTTTCATCTTGATATATTTTTATTTCAGTATTAAATATCAAAGGAGTGCAATGGTAACTCGATTCTCCTTGAGTTGATAATAGTTTGTTAATTTTGTACTTCTATTGGTGTAAAAACGTAAATCAGTTTATTTCTGTAGTTAGTTTCAAAGTAAACAATGTCCACATTAACTATGTCCTTATAGGAAATATAATAAATAAAATTTAAATCTTCAATATATTTTCTTAAATTAAATTGTTTAATTCCATTATTTTAATCCATTAAATGAACGATATACAGATTAGGAGCAATGGCGACTTGGAAATAATATGGAAATAATTATTAAAAGTAACTGAAATCGGATATAATTTGACATTATGAATTTAATAATGTAGAAAAGATTAAAACTTTCGTGATATGTTTCTTGTCAAAAATGAATGATGTAAGAATGACCAACTAGACAGCACTTACAATAATTTTGTTGTTTATATTAATGATCTTGCATATATTTAAAATTTATAATTTACGATTGTATTATACATGATTTTGTGATTTCAAATGATGTCAAAAAATGCTCGTTTCGTGCAGAAATCTCGTTACAGTATGTATTATTATAATAAATTATACAAATAATAATTTACAAACAATATTGATTTATTACATGTCGCAATACATCACGACATATTCACGCAGTATATATATCTACGTAGAAATAATAACATTAAATGTTCGTATATTACATTTCGCAGTAACAACAAAACACATTTACTAACGGTGATGGAAAGCAAAATTGCTTTGGTCATCGATTATACAAACTGAATAGAGGAAGTACAATACAATGACTCGTCGTAAATAATTATATCAAGTCGCTAAACGATGAAAAAAGACAACAAGTCCCGGCTTTGGATCGTGATGTTATTTTTACACAGCGTGTTACAAAGCAATTTTGCGAAGTGTGATGCTTTAAACGCCAGAATTCTTTACAAACTAAACCCAAAAGGAATACTTATCCGAAACAAGACAGAATATTATTTTTAGTACCACGTGACTACGTTATAATTTATGCATTATGATTCACGTTATTTACCATTTCAATAAAGGAAATAAATTTTGTATGCAGAGATATCTACACGAAGATAGAATTTTGTTCTTATCTGAAGCAAAGGAGCTGAGGTACATCGCGATGTCGTCATTTAGTATTACCTGCATGGAACTTGCTCGAAATAATACAGTCTACATGAAATGGAAAAAACGCTCTGATAAAAACATGTTTGTCCATGATAAGCAGAGCAGAGCACTCATCG